CCCTCTCTCTCCTTTTCTATTTAACTTTGTCATAGATTTAATTCTTGAAACAGCCCTATCCTCGTGCGAGGATAGCGGTATCGATTTACTCCCTGGTGGCAGACTCTGATCTGGAGTATGCAGACGACATTGTGTTATTAAGTGAAATCCAGGTGAGTTGCAAGCTTTTCTGGATCGTTTGAGCGCTAGTGTTGCGATGTTCGGTATGCGTTTTGCACCTTCAAGATTGAGTTGATCCAGCGCCCAGTCTCACCCTAACTGGGGAAGTAGTAGAGGAAGTAGACAAATATTGCCATCTAGGCAGCTATACCTCACCCGGCGGACGCATCACAGATGAAGTGTCGGCGCGCATACAAAAGGCTCGGTTGGCATTTGCGAACTTGAGACATCTGTGGCGCCGTCGCGACATCCGGTAGTCTGTGTATGGTCAAGCATATACTGCAGCAGTTTGGTCAGTTCTGCTTTACGGCGCAGAGACTTGGCCATTACGGGAACAGGATAAAAATAGACTGTCGGTGTTCGAACACCGCTGTCTATGCAGCATTGCACGAGTCTGGTGGAGAAACCGGACGAGCAATACTGAGGCTAGGTTTTCATCTCATCTATTCCTTGGTTTCTTTTCTTTATTTGTACTTCGTATTGTTCCCTTGAATTTGTGACATTCTAGGTTTGTTGCTATGATAGGCTTTAAGAAATAAGTAAATAATAACAGTAATAAGTTTAGTTCGGTTTACTTGTTATTTGGAATAAAATTACCTTGTTAGTTTGATGGAGATAGGATTCGATTAACCTCTTATTCCATGATAAAGCTGTTCAAATGATTCATAACTGGCGCTCATAAGTCGTTTACTTAGATCTTATGTTTAATCACATATCATTTGTAAGTCAATCAATAGATCGTGTTTCTTGGTGCTGCATCACCGATAAATAATTTCATGACGTTTCCAGTCCGTGGGTGATTTCGCATTGTTGGCATGCTATTGCGACTAATCTTATGGTCTGCGTGATGTTTGACATCACTCTGATTGCGGCTACTTTCATAAAATAGGCGTTGGTTGGCAGTTCTTTTCCGATTCCCGTCTTCCATCGGTGCCAACGTGCTGCATCACGTGCTGCATCATACGGCGGGATAGTTCACCTCTTAGGGCAAAGCTTACACTCGATTTCTAGGTGTGTGCTGGGGTGCGGACTACGTATTCATTTTGATTTTACCTATCTGAATGTCTAATCATTTTCCATGTGGACTGGCCTTTCGCCGTTTTCATACACCACGTTTTGATGTAGTATTTATTGATCTATGGGTAAATTCGATAAACTTCCTTATCATTTAGTTTTAGTCTGTGAAACGCATCACCCAACTTCCTATTGCAAATGTTTGGTCCACATAGAATCAACTTCTTCAAATTCCGTCCCTAAACTCATGATCGGTACGCAGACAAACTCATGTGTTTCACAATCAGATAAAAATCTAGCACAAGAATCAATATTTGGATAATCTAATCTAGCAAAATAGCAGGCTGAACGGTTTGTTCTTACCTGCTTTGATCGTTCTCTGCGTTCCTTGAAGTCAACCTAAAGTAATCAGTAACAAATGCGCCCTTGGTTCAACCGGTTGCAATTCCCACCGCAATGCTGAAAGGCTTTCCTTACGGTTTGATTAGATGTACCAATCTAGTGGAACATGATTATGGGGCCGATCCCCAAAATGCTAGTACATGTTCTACAGTAGCATGTAAGATCAAACCTTAACCGTCGGATGAGTAAAGGACTGACTACTCCATTATCTAGTTTGTCACAACACGCACCACAGAAATTTATCTTTTTCAGTACAACTCATTCGATTCTTAAATACTTTTTGGAATCTGAATATCTACGGCTGTCTTCGCCACCTTCAATTATCCGTGATGTACATTATGGTTTTAAGAAATACTAGGATGTCGGACAGATGGCTGTCTTTTCTTACGGTTGTTCAAAATAAGTAAGCACGGATTGTTGAAGAATAGTCCTACATATTTATAACCTTAGAACGGGGCATCTAGACGCCAATTTAGTGGTTTTTCTTATGGTGTACGATACCCCATTTGTCCTATCTACACTTATGATTAAATGTAGCCAATCTTGTTTGTAAAGAAGTGATAATTTGACATGTTTGGGCTTCGGAAACTTAAATGAGGCTTGATAAAAAGTTTGTCACTGTGTTTTGGAAACAGAAGAGCTAGATCAGTAACTGTGTCACGGTTACTATTATGAAAGTGAATAGGATCATGAATACCAACTAATTTGCTTGTAGTCTAGGACTAGTCCTAATTATGTAAAACCTTTTGGAGTTCAGTTCAGTTGATAGGTTGAAGTTCGTACATGAACCCTGAACGAATCTGGTTTTATTGAGCATTGCTAGCTCTTTCTTTTTAGTGTTTAAATGTGAGGGGACTTATCAGGATAGACTAATTAGGTTTACCTTGAGGTGGCGGAAGAATCTTGGGTATGAATTTAATAGGGGTTACTCTTGGAAAGTATTCAAAACCATATAACTGTTTTAGGTAATATATTGAATGGATACGATGGATGGTTTATTTTATCAAGAGTTACGCTGTCACCAGATGCAACAACATGCCACTCTAAGTTCCGGGTCTAAGGTTGACGGCTACCGTTCCGTGTTCTTTGCGTGTGCTGGGAAGGGTTAGAGAAGGCGTTTTCGCGGTCAGACCATAACCTCGTGTTCCAACATAAAGAAGTTAGTTTCAGCACCGGTTTCGGTTTGTGTTGCCCGCATTTCATGTTTGGACCCAACGGGGTGAGAGTCGTTATTATTCGTAGACTCCGAAACACTTCAAAATGTATCATTCAAAGTGGTTTGATAACATGTGGTGGATGTAAAGTCGAAAGGAACTTCAAAAATTTAGAAACATCAAGTATAATTATAGGTGATCGGAGCGGGGACCAACTGAAACGTCATTCAGACTGTCTTGTATTGTATTGTATTCAAGCTTTAACGA